GCCCCCTCCCATTGGCTGGGACCCTGCGGCTGGCTGCTTCTGGGGCAGCCTGGTCTGTGGTGCCAGGAGAGGCAGGAAGCTGCCTTAGCCCCCTCGCTGCACCGCTGACCGGAAGCTGCTCAAGGTAACCCCCTCCTGCCCCAGCTCTGCTCACCCCCAATGCTGGAGCCCCCTCTCACTCCCCAAAGCCCTTCCTCAGCCCCACTCCGGAGCCCACAGGCTGGTCCAACTCTGATGGGTCATGGACCTCAAGAATTTTCTTCAACTGGGTCATGAGAAAAAAAAAAAAGTTTGAGACCCCCCTAGTCAGACCCAGAGGTGGAGTTTGGCCACGCCCTGTGTCCGCTCCAGGTCTCATCTCTGCATTGCACCCTGAACGGGCACCCTCGTCTTCCCGCCGCCAGCGGGTAGGGTAACAACTCGCACCATTTCCCATTCCCGTGCATTGACACCCCCCCCGGCTCGCTTGGTGGCAAACATGCTTTTCCAAAGGGGGGGTCTGCTATTGAGATGTGTAAGCCTGACTCCAGGGAGAAGGGCAGAAAGACGGTTTAAGCAGCTCGTTGTCCAGCTGTGTAGCTGCAAAGCTCGGGTGATACCTATTACTCCATGGACTCTTTTCCCGCCCAGGGCCTGCCAAATGTGACTCATTCGGGGGCAGCAGAATGGGGAAAATCTTGGCAATTTGCGGGTGTTCTTTCCTCTTCCCTTCGTCTCTCCTCCTCCCGGGTTCTTGCTGTTGACTGTTATTCTTACCAAATACGGCTTCTTTTGCAGCAATGACAACAGCCCCGTCATCAAGCATTATCACATCAAAGAGACTAATGACAACCCCAAGCGCTATTACTTGGCAGAGAAGCACGTGTTCGACTCCATCCCAGAACTCGTCAACTACCACCAGCACAATGCAGGAGGTGAGTGTTTCTCACCCACTCGGGTGACTGGGGTTGGAAGGACAAAGGCTCTCCGGACTTCTGCTTTTCCAATTAAATGCTCCATGGAAACCCTTTCTGTCTCCCCTCTGGCAGCTATTTAGCCAGAGGTCAAAAATCTCATGGCACTTTGTGATGACAGTAAAGGGTTCGTCTCAACATAGTTTCTAAGGACATGTCTTCACTCCGTGGAAGAGCGACCCAATTGATCTTCCGGAGTTCGATTTAGTGGGTCTAGCTAAGACTCACTAAATCAAACTCATAGGGCACCCCCGCCAGTGTCCGATACTCCTGCTCTTGCCTGGAGTAAGGGAAGCCGATGGAAACATTTGCTCCATCAGCCTCCCGCTGTGTGGATGGTGCCAATCTCAGCTTAAGGTAAGCAAGCATACCTTAAGCCGAGTTGCTGGGTCTAGTATAGATCCGGCCTACCATTACCTCTCCACTGCAGCAGGTTCTAACGTCTAAGGCTGTGTGAGATCTACAGTAGATTTCACCGTAGCTGCACTGACATATAGTACACAGCATCCTTCCTTTAACATTATAAAGCTCACAGAGATGCCTTGGGTATGAAAGATGGCCTCTAAATATCAAGTCTCACAGGGGTAGCCATGTTAGTCTATAACTTTAATCCTAGCTCACCTGATGAGTGGGTTTTACCCATGGAAGCTCATGATATAATATACTGCTTAGTCGCTAAGGTGCCACAGGACTGCTCCTTGTTTCTCAACATATCGCATGATGTTGCAGCAGAAATCAAAACATCAGGTAATGGAGACTTCTAGTTTACATAGCTCCTGGTTCATGACTGAGCAAAAATGAAGGCTCTGGCTGATGTAGATCAGAAACTACTTCCTTCAAATAGACAGGAAGTCACAGCCCTTGACCTGAACAGAGATTCGGCTGCCACCAAGCGAGATTTAGCAGTTACTGCAAGGCATCAACAACAGCTGATGCCCTTACCTCAGGACTTCTCGATTCGTGCTTCTCTGAGAATAAAGTTAGCTCTAGAGAACACTGGGGTTAGGCCTCAGTTGGAGGACTGTGTCCAGTTCTAGGTGCCAGATTTTAGGAAGGATGTGGAGAAATTGGAGAAGATCCAGAAAAGAGCAACACAAATGATGAAAGGTCTAAAGAACATGAGCTATGAGGGAAGACTGAAGGAATTGGGTGTGTTTCGTTTGGAAAAGAGAAGACTGAGAGGGGACATGAGAGCAGCTTTCAAGTATCTAAAAGGGTGTCACAAGGAGAAGGGAGAAAAATTGTTCCCTTGGCCTCTGAGGATAGGACAAGAACCAAGGGGCTTAAATTGCAGCAAGGGAGGTTTAGGTTGGACAGCAGGAAAAACTTCCTACCTGTCTGGGTGGTTAGGCACTGGAATAAATTGCCGAGGGGGGGTTGTGGAATCTCCATCACTGGAGATATTTAAGAGCCAGTAGACAGACACCTGTCAGGAATGATCTAGATGGTGCTTGGTCCTGCCGTGAGGGCAGGGGACTGGACTTGATGACCTCTCAAGGTCCCTTCCAGTTCTAATGTTCTATGAATCTAGGGCCACTCAATCTGCTTTTTCTAGAGCTACTTATTCTGGGCACCTCATTTCTTATCAACATTTTACCAAATCCCTTGCGGACTAGCGAGCACCTTTCATGGTTGTCATTGCAGAGTTTCTCTTACTGTTGAGAATGCTGAACAACTGCCTTTTTAGTGACGTTAATTAGGGCAACTATGCAAAACTCCTCTGTATTCTTCTCTAGAAAAGCCCGATCATCCACCCTGGCCAAGGTCACAATGACAAGTGTCCTCAGGGCCTTTCTGTCCGGTACAAAACACTGAAACACCTACCTCTGACCTCCCAAAGGAAGCTTTTGCACAGGCTGGTCCACACGCCACTCATTGCTTTACCACGTCCCATTGATCAGGCATTGCTATGGCGATAGGTCACCTTTGCCCTTTTTTCATCGCGTTGGTCAGGTACCATAACCGGGACCCATCTTTTCCTCCACAATCCAGGGCTCGTCACTCGTCTGCGGTATGCAGTTTGTTCCTGGAGAGAAAAGGCCCCTATCACAGCAGGACTGAGCTACGGTAAGGAGTTATTCTGACATTGTCTTAAGAGGGCATGTTCATCCCCCGGAGAGCAGGTTGGCTTTGTGGGTCTGAATCTCTTTATGGACACATCCCAGCAGTACCTGGCCATTTCCAAGTCTTTACGCTCAGACATTTGCCAGAGAGATGACCAGATGCTGAAAACCGCCAGGGAGCTTGTAGGCCCCGCACCGTGAACACGGTTGAGGAAAGGAACCTCCCGGGAGGAACAGAACAGCTTCCAGTCCTGTTTAAGTCCATGTTAAATACCGACATGAATGCTGAAGCAAGACCCTTCATCTTCCCAAGTCATGTGTGAATCTGCCATAGCTGAGAGTTGAGGGCCATGTGACAGGTCTACTGTTGTAAAGTGTTTCCTCCAGTAATACTGTGATAGTCATCGTTGTCATTCCTAGAGACTCCAGCTGAGATCAAGGTCCAGCTGTGCTAAATGCTGCATATATATCCCTGCCATGAAGACTTGACAAGACAGACACAGGGCGGGAGAAAGGAATAATTCTCATCCCACATTTTCGTATGGCCAGTTGGAGTCCAGCCCAGAATCCTACAGGCAGAAGCAGATCACCTGAATCCTAGCCCCGTGCCTCCCCCACACGCCCATCCTTCCTCATATGTCACTGGTCGATCCTCACTCCTGTTGTGCCCTTGCCGTTAACAGGGAAGTGGGTCATCAATCCTTGGGAGCTAACGTTAGTGCAGGAGATTGGCAGCGGCCAGTTTGGGGTGGTCCATCTTGGCTACTGGCTCGAGAAGACGAAAGTGGCTATAAAGACCATTCGCGAAGGAGCGATGTCAGAAGAGGACTTTATCGAGGAGGCCCAAGTCATGATGTAAGTAGCCACTTCGTACGCTCAGCTGGGATATTGTGGGCGTGCTCAGCGTGACTGAAAAAATAAACCCTGCTGAGATGATTCAGGGCTCCCTCGTTGAGACACTAACATAATATTATGGAAACAAAACTGTGCGTCAGATGCCGGCTTGTTTCTTTGAAAGAGGTGTATAAACGTGCATGCAGTAGCAGTGATGGCCCATGGGAATGTTTTGTGTGACAGAATGTGTCTATATTTTGACCAATACCCACAATATTCGGCTAATCACAGTTTCTTCATAATAGTGTTGTGGGTTTGGGGACAAAAAAAGACTTTCTGCCAAAAACGTGCCACAAGAAGGAATTTCATCTAAACTTGTTTTGCTTCTGTTGAAAAACAACAACCCCCAAATCATTTTCAGCTTTGGGCAATCCAGATTTTGGTTTGTGGGGGGGGAAGGGTTTCCCTCTCACAAAATCTGGACCAAAATCCATTTTATTTGAACACGTTCATGGAGAAACCACCACCTTTTTTGACCCGTTGTTCTCGGGGGTGTTTAGGGTGCTCAGAATGTGTCAACAAGTCTTGTGCAGCATGTTTCTGATCATAAATCTGTGTATCGGTGCAACTGTATTGAAGAGGCAAAAGCATTAGGTGATTGTAAAGTGTATATGTAAAAGGAGCGGCAGGTCTGTTGAGTGTGAAGGCCGGGATGCTTTCACAGCGCTAGACTTTCACTGCATACCAATATCAAGAGCCGGATCTGATCTCACTGACGTTGCTGTAAATCCAGAATAACTCTGTTAAAGTCGTTGTTTATTCACTAGTGCGGGACTAACGGGATGTTAGAATCCACCCCTAAATTCCCTCTTTCACACTTGTCCGTCTCCCAGCAAGAGCTAACACTTGGCAGAGGGCGGGCGGTAGGGGTACTAGCGAGGTTTGTTACTGCACAGTGTTCGGGGCGGGTGTTTAGGGCAATTTCTGAGTGACTGCAGATCTTCTGAGCCCACCGCCCTCTCCTCTCCCTCGTCTTCCTGGCAGGAAGCTGTCTCATCCCAAGCTGGTGCAGCTCTATGGCGTGTGCTTCGAACAGGCCCCCATCTGCCTGGTGTTTGAGTTCATGGAACACGGCTGCTTGTCAGATTACCTCAGAAACCAGCGGGGCACCTTCTCCAAGGAGACCCTCCTGGGGATGTGCCAGGACGTGTGCGAAGGGATGGCTTATCTGGAGCAGGATTCTGTCATTCACAGGGACCTGGTACGTCGGCCCCAAACCGACTCGTTCCCCGAGCCGGCCAGAATTTGCTCATTTCTGGCGATTTCCCCTCACCGCGTGTCTGCTCCCTCCCCCGCCGAGCAGGCCTGGCGGAGGAGACGCTGCCATGTCCCCTGTTTGCAGCAGCAGGCTAGGTTAGCCCGCACCGGGCATTCCCACCCCAACGCTTCCCTGCGCTAAGCCCAGAAAGGCCATGCAAAGAGGAGGCAGGGTGCAAAGTCCCCCCTCGCCTGGGCCGCCCCTTTCCCTCACAGCTGGCTCCAGCCCCGTCCGTTTGCTGGCAGCCAGGGGCGGCAGGTATCATAGGTGGGGGAAAGCAATGCCGCCCACTCCCCGCCCCAGCGCCCCACTGCAGCAGCACTCCTGGCATTCTGGGGGCGCAGTGTTGCTGCCCCCCAGCTTCAGCTGGACTGCAGCTGGGGGCGGTGTGCCCTCCCCAGGTTCTGGGGCCAGGGAAGCTGGGGCTGTGCTGTCTGGTGCTCTGGGGTGTGTAGGGCCACGTAGCCCGATACTAGGCAGGGAGGCTGCCCGATGCTGAAGGGACGGGCGCTGCTCCATGCTTGGGGGTGGACAACACTAGCCTAGAGCAACGGCCAGCAGCCCCAATGCGTCGGGGGCTTAGGGCATGAATGGGCGGGGCCTCAGGTGGAAGGGGCGGGGCCATGGGCCAGCTATTTGCCCACTGCCCATGCTTCAGCCCCATCATGTCAAAGCTCAGCCAAGAAGTCAAAGCTCTGTCCCGCTCCGGGGTGCCCTGTTACTAACACCCCTCCTCTGGCAGAGTCTCCTTCATTCAGCCCGGTCATGGCTACGAGGTGCGAGTCCGGCTGTATCAGTCACTTTTCAAAAGCGGTTTGTGAGAAACGGGTTTGTTGTTGTCAGGGAGGGTCTGGATTGCTCAGCCCGGAGTGCGCCCGGTGCCTGGGGGAGTCGTTATCAATTGCTTAGCTAACCCAAGCTCAGCCGGCTTGTGGGTCAGTGGCCTGGGTCTTTAATGGATCAGTGGGTAGCTGCCTGGGTCTTTAATGGATCAGTGGGTAGCTGCCTGGGTCTTTAATGGATCTTTAAAGTACAAGAGCTGAGTAAACTACATGAAGGACTTTCTTAGCAATGGGAAAGCAGAGACGCATTAGATTGTCTGCCCCTGCCCCCGGGAAATGCTCTCAGTTCCAGCGCCATTCATCCTCTGCTTCCCTGTTGCTAAGAAAGTGACTTTCTGATGTCACTTTTGCTCTCCTGGGGTCATGAAGCAGTTCTTTAAATATCGCCTGTTAGTAAGAGAACGATTCACAGCCGATAAACCTTGAACTATTAATCTTCCGCTGTTTCTTGCAGGCCGCTCGGAACTGTCTGGTCGGAGAATCCCAGGTGGTCAAAGTGTCGGATTTTGGGATGTCCAGGTAACACGTGCAACCTCTAGGCAGTGTGTCGGCAGAGCGATCACAACCGGGCGTGTCACTGAGCATTCGCTGCCCTTTGTCTCTTCTAGGTATGTCCTCGATGACCAGTACACTAGCTCCACAGGCACCAAATTCCCCGTCAAATGGTCTGCCCCAGAGGTTTTCTCCTACTCCAACTACAGCACCAAGTCGGATGTATGGTCATTTGGTAAGAACTTTTCATCACAACGGAAGCAGGGCGGCGGGGGGGAGGAGGGGGAGAGATTCAATTAGCTGCTTGCCAGAGGATGTAGTGAAGACCAGGGCTTTACCTGGGTTCAAATAAGAGCTAGAGAAATCCATGGAGATTAGGTCCATCAATGACTATTAGCCAGGATGGGCAGGAATGGTGTCGCTCGCCTCTCTTTGTCAGGGGCTGGAAATGAGTGACAGGAGAGGGATCACTTGATTCTATTTCTTCCCTCTGGGGCACCTGGCATTAATTTCTTCCCTCTGGGGCCCCTGGCGTTGGCCGCTATCAGAAGACAGGATACCGAGCTAGAGGGACCTTTGCTCTGACCCAGCGTGGCCGTTCTGAAGTCAGACTACCACCAAGACCTTGATCCTGGAGACTTTAGACCACTGGCTGGATTCCATGGGTCTTTGGTCTCAATAAAGACTCCCAGCGGGAGCATAGCCCCTTTGTTCTCAGGACAAAGGAGAAAGAGCAGTGAGCTAGCGAGGCAGCGACAGGTAGCAATGCAACGGGCCCTGCCAAGAAGGCGAATGGTGCATTAGGAGGGTCATTTCCATCAGATCCAGAGATTCCCCTTTATTTGGCACTGGTGAGGCCACATCTGGAGTATTGCGTCCAGTTCTGGGAAAGGATGTGGGCGCATTGGAGAGGATCCAGCGGACGGCAACCAAAATGATGAGGGGCCTGGAGCACTTGACCTATGAGGAGAGGCTGAGGGATTTGGGTTTAGTTAGTCTGCAGAAGAGAAGAGTGAGGGGGGATTTGAGAGCAGCCTTCAACTCCCTGAAGGGGGGTTCCAGAGAGGCTGGAGGAGGCTGTTCTCAGTGGTGGCAAATGGCAGAACAAGGAGCAATGGGCTCAAGTCACAGTGGGGGAGGTCGAGGTTGGATATTAGGAAAAACTCTTTCTCTATGAGGGGGATGAAGCACTGGGCTGGGTTCCCTAGGGAGGGGGTGGAATCTCCATCCCTAGAGGTGTTTAAGTCCCGGCTGGACAAAGCCCTGGCTGGGAGGATTGAGTTGGGGTTGGTCCTGCTTTGGGCAGGGGGCTGGACTCTGACCTCCTGAGGTCTCTTCCAGCCCTGGGATTCTAGGGAGCGAGATGGGGGTGTGATCTGGAGGGGAGGCCCATCCAACGCTCCTCAGATGGAGGAATGGTGGCCGCTCGGGCTCTTCGAGGAGGGGGCTTGGAAGCAGATAGAAATGGTGGGATTGGGCGGGTGGATTGGGGTGCTGAGGACCTCTAATATGAACTGTTGGGGAGGGCTGTTTCGGGCAGGTGGCGGTTGCTCCATTCCGGTCATTGCCATTGTTGTTTCAGGAGTGTTGATGTGGGAAGTGTTCAGCGAAGGCAAAATCCCTTACGAAAACCGGACCAACGCGGAGGTGGTGGAGGAAATCAACGCAGGACTCCGCTTGTATAAACCCAAGCTGGCCTCCAAGGCCATCTATGAGCTCATGAGCAGCTGCTGGAACGCGGTAAGCAACGTAGTTCACATGGGCAAGAGATTTCGATCCCTCCCCTAAATCTTTGCTCGGAGAAACGGCCTGTCCCTAACGGGAGGGAGCTAACATGGGGCAAAGCCCCAGGGACAAAGCAGTGTGTAGTTTTCACACACGTTAACGTGAACCCTACATTCCACCGTGGTCTTTAACTGGCCTACTAACGCATGTGACCAGGGCTGTCCCAAAGGGGGCATGGGGTCTGGGGCAACTCAGGTCCCACCCTTCCCCCTTTGTACCCCTTCTCTAAGCCCCCTCCCCCCCCCACTGTGCCACATCCTGTTTCCCCCCGAGCACTGCAGCCTGGGAGACTACGGGAGGGCTGGCATGGTGGCAGCAGGGTTTGCACAGATGGTGGGAGCCTGAGTGGCCAGGCAGCCTGCTCCACCCCACTGGGCCGTCCTCCCGGCCCGCTGTGCCTTGCCTCTCCACAGTGGCGGGAACCGGAGAGCTCTGGGGCAGGGCCGGGAGAGGGCGGCATAACCACGCAGAGCAGGCTGCTAGGCCGTTTCAGCTCTCCACAGGGCCCCCAAAAGCACAGGGCCTGCGTAACCGCCCTGATGCCTCCTATGGACAGTTCGGCTCTGCAGGTGACCACTGCAAGCTGCCTCCGCTTAGCGAGGCTTAACTCATGCCGGCTCATTCACATTAGGAACATCCACCGGGGTGGGGAAGGGCGGGATTTGAGTCGCACATTAGAAGGCAGAAGTCACAGCAAGTCGGCTTTTATTGGTCCACGGTTTCTGAGATTAAACCAGAGGGACAGCAGCCCTGAACCCACCACATCACCTTTGCGTCCTATGATGATTTCAGTCACATTTTCACTTCTGTTTTCCCCCTTGAAGGTCTGATTTTACCTTTGCTACCAGTCAGCCTCTGGCCCGTGACAAGGTTCTCTCTCTTGCCCCCTGCAGCCCTGTCCAACGTGGAGATTCATGGCCTTCTTTTCTTTCTCCCGCAGAGGAAAGAAGACCGACCCTCCCGGTGGAGATTCATGGCCTTTTCTTTCTCCCGCAGAGGAAAGAAGACCGACCCTCCTTCTCCATCCTGCTCTACCAGCTGGGCGAGATCTCTGAATTTGACCTTTAATCGGGACAATGGCTCACTGGGTGAAGGTGAGCAAGACGTCTGATTGGACAGCGTTTTCCCTACCTGAAGCATTAACAAAACCCTTCCGACCTGAGAGAATAGTTCTAGCCAGGCCAATCCTTCTCAAGAGCTCCACGGAGAAAAGATGGAGTCAAATGTTTGGCTTGGGAACACGGGAAAGGTTCTCACAAACCAGACCAGCAATTTAGCAGAGGTCCCAGAGAAAGGCTTCTCATCTTCTCCTGAGAATTGGGCTCAGTGCGTGCCCTCAGATTTTGTGCTTCCACCCCTAGATGCACACAACAGACACTTTAGCCTGCCCTGAACAAGGTGTCTCATCACCGACAAGAGGAGCTCTGCGTAAGATATTACCTCAGCCGCTTTGTCTCTCTCAGAACCATTCGGATGCTTCCAGATTTGTGACACAGCCAGTCTGGAGCGGAAAGGGATGGCTGGATGAACTGGGACCAGCTCCAACACACAGAGCAGACAGGCGCTCTGGCTGGGCTTACCCATTGCGCCCTGTACGTTGCAGGGTTAAAGACTGGGTTGTCGTCTTAGCATGATTTGCTCTGCCGCTCTGGGGTAAGGGGTGTAGGATTCTGGAGGGCGTAACATAGGTGCACCTGAGAAAACTATGAATGAAATGGCAAGGTCTTTCAACTCTGGTATGTTGTTAGTGGGGGACAGAGAAAGATAAACCCACACACAGACTTTCTGGTGCAGACTGGGATGTGTGCGGGGGCGGGGGGGACCCAAAGCTGAAGAATATGGGTGTCAAAATTCCCATGGAGACGTCTCCAGAAGGAAAAACGGGCCTCCAAAGAGCTCGCAGTTGATCAACAAAGGACAGTTTGTCAGTGCAGATCACGTCTAGGGCAGTTGAGGCGGGCAGGAGCTCTGGGTCTCCTTGCCTGAGGTGAAAGGCTCCTTTTGAGAACTCCCCAGGAACTGGTGTGTTTTCTGAAGCAAGGTAAGAGGCAGCGGTGGGTGGCAATGCAACGGGCCCTGCGGAGACTTCCCATCTGGATGACGGGGCTTTGTGGAGGAGACCGGGAGGTGCAGGCTGAGGGATGCAATGCCACAATGAAGTACAAGTGCTCCAGGCACTTGTGATAATAAAAGGAGACCCCACTCCCTCTATCCACCCAAGAAAGCAACGGAGCCTCCCCACAAAGACCTTTTCACCTCTTCGGTGAGCCACGTATCGAGCCTTCTGAACTCCTAACGGGAGTGGCTTTCCACGGGTGTAACGGAGACCAGACTCCGTCCCCGACCGCGTATACAGCTACCAACGCCGCAATCTTTTGCCTAGTAGCGTGGAAAACGCTGGCCTGTATTTTATAATCAGCGCTCCTACAGGAATCGGACGGACCGGGTATTTCATGGTGCCGGACGCTGTGTGGCAGCATTGGAAGAAGCTATGTTCCATGTTCATGTAACTTATCTAATATTCTAGCAAGCCCAGGAACATTCCTCTCCCCAGAACCAGCCTCCAAAACAGAGCACACGCTGGGACTTTTTGCTAAGCATTACGGAGAAAGGGAAGGCTCTGGAGGATTTCTCTGTTAGCCACTGGACTCACTTCCCATACTTGCTAGGCACTGCGCCGATCTCATTCTTCTCCCCCATTGGATTTTGTTCTGCATTAATTTCTTAGCTAGACACACCTGAAACGTCAGCATGAATCATTTTCCCTGGCAGGTCGCCTGCCTTCACAAACTGGAGACAGGTCTGCCCCAGCCCCTGGGATCCGAACATGGCGGGGACGTTTGGCTCCCGGTCTCCGTTCGATAGTCTCAGCTAGAGGCTGGGGCAGGAACCGCCACAAATGGAATTCTGCAAGGCCTGGAGTTCACCTGCTTTTTCTTCATTCCTCCCCACTGGCTTCAGTTCGCCCACTGCCATGTTCTTGTGGCATCAGATCTGGCCTCCAGTTGCTGCCCAGAATAGGGGACCATGGGGAATTGCACCCTAGGGAGCTTGGGGGGAGTTGTGAGTGGCCCAGGACATATGGGACTGTACCTGGAGTGGGGGTTACCTGGCCATAACCCTGACTCCTCCCTTGCAGCTCCCCCACTCTTTACTCCTAGAGTGGGTCTGGACCAGTGGTTCTCAACATGGACCATGTGGCTCCCCAGGGGACACGCCTTCCTTCTAGGGGGCCACATGGGAAAAAACGGAACATTAGAGGGCCACAATAAGTTTCTGAGGGGGCCACCCGAACTTAACTGCCGGGCGTATGATGAATGAGGCTCAGAACGGTTGAGAAACACTGGTCCAGACCACACCTCTCTGTCGACAGAGAGATGTAGATTAGGCACGTCGAAATTGCTAATGAATCCGGGATTTAACTATCCCGTGCCTCATTAGCATAAACATGGCCACTGCTTTTTTCAGAACTGATTTTTATTTTTTCGAAAAAACGGTAGTCTAGACGTGGATCTGTTGAAAATGAAGCCTTTTTCAACAGATCCTGTAAACCTCATTTTTTGAGGAATCCAGGATCTGTCGAAAAAGGCTTTATTTTTGACAGATCCGCATCTAGACTGCTGGGTTTTTTGTTTTTTTTTTCCGAAAAAACCCCATTTGGAAAAAAGCGGCGGCCGTGTTTATGTTAATGAGGATATTTAAATCCCGACTTCATTAGCAATTTCGACGTGCTTGATGTGCATCCTTCTGTCGACAGAGGGATGCTGTCTAGACCCGGGCACTGAAGAGGTGCTTAATCTTCCCCAAGCACAAGGGATGTAGCTGTGGCAGACCCTTGCGCAGGAGGTAAGCTCCGTGCATGCCAGCCCCTCCTGTAAGGGACCTGTCACAACATCAACTCCTTCCCTCCGCATCCTGGTTGCCCAGGTGCTTGTAGTTGCAATATTGCCCCTGTGGGTAACGCCTTTAGGACAGTATTTATTCCCGGGGGAGATAAAGGAAATATTTATTAGTCTCAATCTATTGCACTAAACAGGACTGTTACATAGAATGTTCCGATCTTCTTGCCTAACGATTTGTTGTGTACAGTTTATAGATCTAGAATACAGTTCATAGAGTTGTCCTGTGACCACTGGGTGTTTGAATTTTTCACGCAGGTACCCCACCTGGAAACTGGGGGGAGAACGTACACACGGTGCTAACAGAGCTGGCCCAAGCTACGGGCTGACCAGGCTTCCGCCCGGGGCGCCCCATTGTAGGGGGCACCGTGTGGGGCTGCCAGACCGGGCAGGGGCAGGGCCGTGCATGCGCCGCACTTCTGGGAGCGGTGCCGCACTCCTGGGCCTGGGGCACACGAACGGCTCGGGCCGGCCCTGGGTGCTAGGCACTGCCCAACGTACTGTCTTAAAGACGGACAATCACACAACACATGGATGGCCAAACCCTATGCTCTGAGGGGGGGGCTGTAGAAGAGCCACTGAGCGGCCAGTGTGCCCCCTTGTGGCTGGGCCTGGTGGAGCAGGCTATTCTCTGGCGCCCCCTGCTGACAGCCACTCTGGTTCTGGTACTTGCGACTTGGCCTGCTGGGAATGTCCCCTTCCGTCCCACCATCGAAAGTCAGTGACTCTAAGTCTCCTGCCTCAGACTCTGCGCCCAGGGGGCCTTACACCCCTTGCCTCACGGTTTGCGGCACTAACCTCTTGAATCCGGTTTCACTTCACTTCCCCCAGTGGAGGGGTGGTGGGACCCAGACTCCCCACTTGGAGGACCCTATAGCCCGCAGCCAAGGTCTGCTCACCCAGCCTCCATGCTACTCCCCTGAACTTCTTCCTCACTTGCCCCCCCCCCCCCCCCCCGGCCCTCCCC